ATAAATATATAATTATGCACTCGTCTATGCCACTGGTATTGTATAGCATGACTAATTATACTTCAGCCCGCGGCGGATCTCGTTGCGCGGCTTCACCCGAGGCGGAAAGCACCCTATTAAATCTCGTGCTTCGGGCGCAAGGAAGAAAACCGCGAGACGTCAATACGAGTGCGCCAGGCATGAGAAAGAAGCGGTAGGCATTCGTGCAGTCTAATCCTCGATCTTCCTACTTTATCTACCCCCCCCCTCTTTCTCTCTCTCTCTTTCTCTCTCCTTTACCTCCCTCTCTCTCCTTCACCTTCGCCTCCCCTTCTCACTGCCAACCGTCTCTCTTCCTTTCTCTTCCACCCCCAGCTTACTCTTGGCATCCCTAAGAACTGCGTCGAGCTGCGCGCGCGCACATCTGTTCACAGTCCGTTTTTCCATGTTTCTCAAATGATACGTACGTTTGACGATTAATAAAACCGCGTGGAAAATTTAAGTAGAGATAACGTTTGCAAGTACGTTATCACTTTTTGATCGGTCTGCATCGTTTTCCGAAGCGGAATTTGTCCGCCGATGTTATTTATACTGCAATAATTAATAAATGGGCGCTACAGACGCGGTTTTTCTTTAACTTGTAAGGAGGCGATAGGAAAGGCACCAAAAATTAAAACGCCATCGAAGAGTTACGCTTTGAATCTTTAAGTATTTATTTAAACAAATCCCAACATTCCAAACATTGATAGATGTATATACGTATGGATGTGTGTGTGTGTGTGGTTTTTTTTTTTTTTTGCGTCTGTGCGCTTCCTATGGACACAAGATAGATTGTGGCGGCGTGTCACTCCGTCTTCGGCTATCTATGTTATGTCCATAGTGTCCTTCTTTCCGTTAATTCTGTATGTGTACCCACTGTCATGCACGTACCGCCATTTCTTTCATCTGCGGATCCTCTAATTAAATCGCAGTCAACGTTTTCTCACACAAGAAGAAAATCTCGATTGGACATCCTCGGGATCTTCTTTTTTCGACAATTTTTTTAAGAATTTAAAAAAATTTCTTTTATCAAGGAACATACCATTTTCATCACTGTCAACAATTTTGCGAGTAAGCGCGATTTCAATTTTTCAAACATCATTCGCTCTCAAAAATGACGATGAAAGCCCAATATTTTCGTTAAGAAAAAAGAAATTATTTCTACTATTTCTAAAAGAAACGATTTCTAACTCAGATTGAAGAATCTGCAAACGAAAGGAACGGTGACAGTAAAGAGCTTTCGTGGGGGGCTCAATCTTGGCCGCGCAAACGACAATGAAACTTAATCCTCTCCACGTTAAAATTACGATGCAAATGAGGCTAATTTAACGATCGTATCCAAATTCGACGACTGTTTGTTACCGTAACGCTTCTCGGATCGATCGAACAGCTCTCCGATTTGTATAGCGCGATTCGATAACTCCCCCTTTCCCCTTATCCCTATTTCTGACGATGTATTTCTTAACGCCGTCAGCATCTTGCCGGTACACGATAACACACGCGAGTCGCAATCAAATCAATTATGGCAAGTTTCCCGTGACTAGATTAATTAGGAGTTAGGTTACTTACGGTGGCCCCTCGCGCGGTTTCTCTTCCTCATTTATTCAAAAAGTAGTCTTACGATCGTAGGGGGGTGTTTACGACAACAGCGTCCATCTCTCTCTATCTTGATGCTCTTGCGACGGGTCTGTTTCACGGAGCTGTCAAGTCAAGATTCAATTCTTGGCACCATTTCAATTTCGTCGAAAAGCGTTGTGCGTTCCGTTGTGTGTGACGAGACGAACCAAGATCAAAATTTACCCAGTCTCCAAAGAGTTAGTCTTTTTTTTTTTTTTTTTTTTTTTTTTTTTTTTTTTTACATAGAAAATGTCCAGCTCGATAACGATTTTTTTGAGGGATTTTGCAACAATGTGCGATCCTTAAAGTATATTTTATTGAATGGAGACTTGGAAAATTTTGATCCTGTGAAATGTCTCTTTAAGCTAGTCTCTCGAAATATAAGCTAAATATATATTTCGGTGCCATCTTGAAGTAATTTAATAAATAATTTAATTGGTGTATAAATGGTCAATAGTTGATATTGAACAGATCCGATCAGATTCAAAATGTCGTATATTAGCAGCCGATTCGATACGTCTAAGCACCCCGAAGAAAAACATAAAAATTAGGATGGACCCGAATATTTTTCGCCTTCCACTACCATATTTCCAATATATTGCATGAAAATTTACAACATACAGGTGACTCTCCAAGACAAATTTTAATTTGTAATAAATTTCATTACCATATCAAGGAGATAAATTCGATTTTAGGCGGAAAAATACAACTCCTGTTTTAGAATAAATTGACCTTGTTAACAATTTGATAAAAGATATTTTGAACGAGACGAAATAAACGAAAGTTTTAACTGGATGCGGAAACAAGGTGACATCAATAATTCATAATATTCTTTATACGTAGACCCATTTCCAATTGGTCGAAAGTGGTAACTCTTATCAAAACACTTTTCTTTTATGGCGGTCATCAAAAAGTTGTAGTAGTAAATTTATAACTTTCTGAAACAATGCAACTTTAGCCCCTCCGAGATGACTATTAAAGTCAGAGGAAACTTGTAGCGCAATACTTTCTAACAAATGTATACATCGTAAAAATGTCTTGAGTGCATAACTGCAAATATACAGGTGCCCCCCTCCAATGGAACACTAACAACTTCGCGTATCAAATTTTTTCCGCAAACATAATTTCGCGTTTACGCAGCGACAATTTTTAACACAAATACGGAGAGTCACCTGCATCCTCTTAAATACTCTCCCGTTGCCATTAAACCGTTTAGCCCTATCTCGTGTCAAACATGTTCTAATTTCTCATACAAGGTTACACACACGCGCCCAACTACGCTAACGAAAGCCATTCTCTCATAGAGTTTCTTTTCTCCCGCTCTTGCTTCGTACCCTCTCCTATTTTTTTTTTTTTTTATCTTTTCCCTTCCACCTTTTCGTCCCCCATCGTCTATGTCTCACTCACGCACTTCGCGCACAAACATACATGCCAATAGCTAGTCATTCTCGTCATCTTATGAACCTAGAAAGTCGAAGCCCAAGACTACCAATTCCTCGATTAATTCCATTTAGTGTTGTGGCAGAGTCAGGCCACAGTTAGCCCGAGCACCTGTGACGGACACCGTGTATGTCTGCCGCGAAAAGATGTCTCTTTTGCATTCATTTTATTATTCCTGAGATTACGTCAATCCCCCGTTTACGCGATATCGCCAGATCGGACCCGGCCGAAGAGTCAGTGAACTAAGAGTCAGAGGCCGATCCGTGTGAATTACAAGTGCCAGACGTTGCCGTCCCTAATGGACGGACGAAGATTACACGTCTCGGTTACAAAGGGACCGCTACGAACCTCCAGTGTGCTCTCCTTATGTGCGCGCGCTCCACCAAACTGTGGACTACGTAACGTGGATCACAAATCGAGGGGCTGAGAGAGGAGGCCTCTCGGAAGTATAAAGCACACTTTTAACGCTGCTGATCCGGACACACACACACGGCACTGTACAACCCCCCCCCCTCCCCTCCATTTTGGAGCGAGTAAAAATTATGTTTCACTTTCTTCGATCGAGACGCCACGCGCACCACTCGGCATCCATACCGTGGTGAGGATCGCTCGAACAACAGGAGTTAAGTTTTGAACGCGCTAAGTGTATTTAGTTAGTGATTTTTTTTTTGTAATAAGAGCTCTAAGAGCAAGAGCGGAAAAGAATTTCTTGTTCGCGCGGTGAAGGTGAACCGCGCTTTCACCTCAAACACGCGCGAGTGCGAAGAGAACACGTGCTTTACTTAATTCTCAAATGGAACACGGAGAAAGAATGGTGTGGTGAGAGGGACAAAATTTGCCTCGATGGTGGGTGAGAAGAGCGTGCCTCTCGCGCCTCGGGAAGGGTTTCCCCCGATGGATAATCAGAGTTCAAAGGCGCTTCTCTCGCCTACACTTGATCTCTCGCGATCGACGCCGTCCTCTTGTCTCGCGTTCTCGGCAAACCGCAACCCTCAACATCAAAAGATCGAGATCCCCCGCCCCTGTCACACGGAGATCTCTTGAATCTGCACACGCTTTTTCGCGCTACCGGGTGTCCCGGGCTGCCGTAGAATTCCGGGACACGAGAGACCGACGTTCGGCGCCGGGGCTTTCGGCGGGGGCGGCGGCTCCGGTAGCTCCTCGTTTTCGTCCTCGCTGTCGTGGTTAGGGCCGCCGATGTTGTTGACCTCGTCCATCCGAGCGATGGTGGCGTCCACGCAGGGCGACGGCGTGCGGGTCCGCTGGATGCACGGGCTCTTGCTGTAGGACGGCGGCTCCAGGATCCGCTTGCCGCCGCCGGGCGGCGGCGAGCACTGGAACTCCTGCAGCTGCAGCTCGAGCTCCTGGACGAGCTTCGCTTTGTGCGGCGGCAGCATCGACGACGGCGAGTCCATCAGACTCATGGAAGACGACAGCCGTTGCTTGCCCGAGCCCGAAGTGTCCATGCCGGAGCAGCCGGCCTCGAGAAATTCCTCCTTCTTCTTATTACTGAAGGCCCCCGACAGGCCGCCGCCGGTCGCGTTTCGATCGCGCTGATGGTAGATCCCCGCGAAGATCAGGATGTTGAGGAGCAGCAGGAACACGCCGACCGCGATGGTGACTGTGAGCGCCGTGGTGTAGCTCTGATAATGGCTGGATGCGAGTTTGCGCAGGAGATTGTTGGGGCCCGGGCCCAGATTCGAGATCTGTAACGTTCGCGAGGTGGTGGGCGTGATGGTTGTCGCGACGGTCGCGTTTGGGGTGCATTCCGTGGTCGAAAGCGCGGTCAGTATCGAGGAGGGTTCCGTGGGGGATGGCATGGGTAGCGGGGGTGCCGGTAGAGGTACCGCCGTGCTCTGTGGCCGTACCGGACCTTCGTAGAGGCTGGGGCTCTCCGCGAGGTGGTGATGCCGCATGTTGATCTCGTAGCCGGGCCGGTGCAGCTGCGGGAGCAGATTCAGCCAGAGAGACATCTTGTGGCCTCTGTAGTGCGAACGCATCTCTGGGCTATGAGCGGCCTCCAAGTACAGCTGGTTTATGGAATCGTATGAGTCCCAGAATGGCGGACTCATCGTCAGGCCGTTCTCCAGTCCCGAGGACAATGGACTCACGCCGTTCGGATCCCTAAAACAACGAGCGAACCGCTCGAACTTTTTGACAAATCGACAAAAATCTACCACGCGATTTAGTATTTTCTTTCGCCCTCACGTTGCTCTATTTGGAATTGTTAAATATTTGGTAACGAAACATGTCGCACGCGATTAAATTTATTTCAATTTATTTTTCCATATTATTATTATTTATAATATAATATTGTATATATTATTTATCTAACGTGATTAATAAATATTTATAATCTATTTATAAATATTCATTAATTATTATTTATTGTTATTTAAAAATTTTAATAAAAATTGGAAGCTAAATTTTGGCAAGCGAAAATCTCACACGGTCTCTCTCTTTTTTTTCTTTGTGCGATTCATTCACCGCAGACAAAATTATGAAAATCCACCGTGTCGATGACAGAGTAATCATGCAGATAGTCGCCGATCCGACCAATTAGAGATGCCAAAATCACTTCGCGTCTTTGCCAACACTAACAAGTCTACCTCGAGATTGCGAGCTTTCGCTGAGCGCGTTAACGGCCTTTGCGGGAGTTTGACTCCAAAATCCTCTCGCAGCTGTAACTTTACCCTACCTACCACCCACTACCACCAAGGTAGTGCCAGCCTTCAGACTCCCCTCTCACGGAGAGTAATCGAAGTGTATGAGATGCTTAAGTTCCGAAGAACTTTGAAACCGGGTGAATTAACGAGAGAGGGTTCACTTATCCGATTAACCCTTTCGCGCCCATGCGCCATGCGGTTATTTCCCGTCGTAATGTCGTCGATTAATGACGATACCCCATCCAAGAAAGCGGTCAACTAAACGGTATGCTAACCTCGGTATTCGCGGTATTCTTGAAAAGGTATTCTCGCCAATTAGAAATCCAAAATCCAAAAAACATGATCCAAAATATTCTGTACTCTTCTACGTTTGTCGCGACAGAACAGTTTTATTTCCTCTCCAAATCGTTTCGCGTCCCTTAATGGACGCGGTCAGCAGGTTAATTTAATATAGCCGGGCAAAGAGAACGAAAGGGGAGAAGGGGGGGAGAACTTACCCGCGCCTCACAAAGTTAGCCAGGTAGTGCACGAGCAGTTTCGACAGATTCTCGTCGGCGGGAGTGTAGTTGCCAAAGGCGTGCAGCGCGGACGTGACCTCGCCACGGAGAAGAGGTATACCCAAGAGATACGGCAGTTCCTCGCCCCTCTGGCTCGGCTGCTCGCCCGGCTGGAAGTGCAGGAAGTAGCCCCGTCCCTCCGAGGCCGAGTGCAGGAGGGCCAGTCTGAGGAGCGGCGCGGCGACTTGGCCGTCCCCGAGGAGAGACAGGAGACCCTCGCAGATCGCCACGGGACTCTGCTCCCCCCGCTCCCAGTCGGTGTACTCGTTCCGAAGGGTCGAGTAGATTTCATGCAGATGGTATCGGTAGGTATTCCGGACGTAGGTACGCAATATACGGTCCCTCCTCGTCTCGTTCAAGCCGTTCTGCGAAGATGAGATCACAGAGTTTCACCGACTTTACCGGGCTTTCAACGAGCGCGAAATGGCGACGCGCGCGAATTAACGACTCTCCTTTAACGTTACGCGGATCGATCGCGGCTCGCAGTCTCGCGAATATGAATTTTCTATATCGCTTGATAAGCTTGATTCGCGGATAATCACACCGGGACATCTCGCGTGTGTAGACGGACGTATATCGAATGATCGCTGATATATCCGCGTATAGATCACTAATTCGAATTCAGGATCGTAAAGTAGACGGACGCGTTACATTATAGCGCGACGCTCGGTGGCCGTGACCATCAGAGAGTCAATAATATCCGGAACGTTTGGCTAGCGCAGGCTTGCGATGCAATCATGTAAAGCTCATCAATTTGTCAAACTATATCCAATCGATGTCAATTACATATTATGCATGAGGTGTCGGTCATTAATCAGAGAAATTACTTCCGCTCCAATATAAATTTCTTGATAAAATCAATACAAAAATAAAAGCGTGGACTAATAATAGCGGCGAGGGAAAATAGATTA